GCAGGATAATCACCGGAACCAAGGAGGTAGAGGTTGTAGTGAGCTGAGATTATGCCACTGCACTCCAGCCTGGGCAACAGAGTAACACTCTGTCTCAAAAAAAAAAAAAAAAAAAAAAAAGAAGCCAGCAGCCATAGATGATACATAAACAAAAGGGCATAGCTACATTCCAATAACACTTTATTTACAAAAACATGCAATGGGCCAGATTTGACCCATGGGGTATCCTTTGTAGACTCCTGATCTATTTTGTTGTTGTTGCTGTTTTATAAGAACTCTTTGTATACTGTAACAGGAAAATCATAGGCTATCTACTCCAGTCAATGAATGAATGTGACCAAACTCTTAATAACTACAACTTTATTAAGGGTTCTAAACACAGCTATATTTGGTTTGCTTAAATAATAAATTCTGGTCAAAATATAATACCTCTAAGTGTTAACTACAGTTACATATTGACATCATAAAGTTAAAATTCAAGTTTAAGTCCGTGCATGGTGGCTCATGCCTGCAATCCCAGCACTTTGGGAGGCTGAGGCAGGCAGATCACCTGAGGTCAGGAGGTCAGGAGTTCAAGACCAGCCTGGCCAACATGCTGAAACCCCATCTCTACTAAGAATACAAAAATTAGCCAGGCATGGTCACAGATGCCTGTAATCCCAGCTAATCAGGAGGCTGAGGCAGGAGAATCTCTTGAACCTGGGAGGTGGAGGGTGCCATGAGCTGAGATTGTGCCACTGCATTCCAGCCCAGAGACAGAGGGAGACTCTGTCTCAAAAAATAATTCAAGTGTAATATGTAACACTACAGTGAGTTTCAGTGTTGCAATGATAAAAGGGGCCTTGCTTTTGTTTCTAATTTGTTTCCATCTGAAATCTAAACTCAATCACTTGGCATTTAAGGCCTCTGAAATCTAACTCCACGTTCTCTTTCCTGTGATATCCTGCCAGTTCCTGATACTGAAGCCACACCATGCTATTTGCCCTTCTGCAACCGGGCCCCACGCTCTCCACTTTTCCTCCTTTGTCCCCCATTCCTGTTACCCGAAATGTTCTGCCTTCAATCTTTACCCCCTTACTCCTAGTCAAAATCTTTTCTCCCAAGCCTTATGAAAGTTGTACCTTCTCTGTCTTTTTTTAAGAGCTAGTATAGAAGTTGGCCTGAGGCACACTTCTCAGCCTGCAGGATGGCCACCTTGCAGGATGTAACACTTTAAAATAAGCCGGCCAGGCGCAGTGGCTCACACCTGCAATCCCAGCATTTTGGGAGGCCAAGGCAGGTGATCACCTTGAGCCTGGTTCACGTTGGCCAGGTTGGTCACGAACTTCTGAGCTCAGGTGAGATGGGGTCTCTACTAAATAAGCTGGGCATGGTAGCATATGCCTGTAATCCCAGCTACTCAGGAGGCTCAGGCAACCTCTGAGAGGCAGAGGTTGCAGTGAGCCGAGATAGCAGCACTGTACTCCAGCCTGGGGGACAGAGTGAGACTCTGTCTTGAAAGAGAGAGAGAGAGAGAGACAGAGAGAGAGAGAGAGAGAGAGAGAGAGAGAGAGAAAGGGAGGGAGGGAGGGAGGAAAGGAAGGAATAAAGAAGTCTCTTCTTTTCTAAATTTGTAGATCTTGTGATTTTTTTTTTTTTTGTTTTGTTTTAAAGTCTAGTTTTAAGTTTCTTTGTTTCAGTTAAACACACCTGTTTAACTACAGCCCAGGTCAAGAAGTAGAACATGAGCACACCCAGAGGCCAGGTCAAGAAGTAGAACATGAGCACACCCAGAGGCCAGGTCAAGAAGTAGAACATGAGCACACCCAGAGGCCAGGTCAAGAAGTAGAACATGAGCACACCCAGAGGCCTCCCACGTTCCTTCTCCCAGTCTACGTCTCCTGAAAGGTTGTCACTGCTCTGACTTTTATTCCGGTAGATTCAGTTCACTCCTTTTAGAACTTTATAGGGATGGAACAATAAGATTTGTACTCTTTTGTATCTGGCTTTTTGGTTAACATTATCTGTTTGTGAGATCCATCCATAGTGTTGTATATAGCAGTAGTTCATTCTTTTTAATTCCTGCAGAGGAATTAAATTGTATACATACGGTGTACTACAATTGATTTGTCCTTTCAACTTTTAATGAAGATTTTGATTGTTTCTAATGTTTAACTATGAGAAATATGCAGCCAGGCACGGTGGCTCACACCTGTAATCTCACACTTTCGGAGGACGAGCAGGCAGATTGTCTGAGGCCGGGAGTTTGAGACCAGCCTGGTCAACATGGTGAAATCCCATCTCTACTAAAAATACAAAAATTAGCCAGGTGTGTGATGGTGGGTACCTGTAATCCCAGCTACTTGGGAGGTTGAGGCAGGAGAATTGCTTGAACCCAGGAGGCAGAAGTTGCAGTGAGTTGGGATCAAGCCACTGCATTCCAGCCTGGTTGACAGAGTGAGACCCTATCTCCAAAAAAAAAAAGTGCTATTAGAAATATTTCTATATATGTTTCTGTTGTGTATAGGATATAGCATTGGAGGATACATCAAAAGTCTTTAGGATATAACTGAGTCAGTATACTAGCAAGCCTATAGTCCCAGCTACTTGAGAGGCTGAGGTGGGAGGATTCCTTGAGCCCAGGAGTTTGAGGCCAGCCTGCCCAATATAGTGAGATCCCATCTCTAAAATTTAAGAAAATAAAAATAAAAAAAGTCTTTAGACATTTTTAGGTATTTAGATTTTAGACATTCTAAATGTACCCATAATTTATTTTAAGAAAAAAGTTAAAGAGCAAAAAGACTTAGCTCTGCAGATGTTCTTAGTTGCATTTAAAAATAAATGCAAAAATATGCAAATTATACTAAAGTCTCAATAACAGGGTGTTATTTAAATAAATTATGGCATAAAATATTATGTTAATATTATATTTAAATTATGGCATGAAGTATATTATTTATTTTATTATATTTATTGCTAAGGAAAGATTTACATGGTATATTAGTAGATGAAAAAAAGTCTGGTGATAAGAGAATATATACAATTGGCCGGGCGTAGTGGCTCATGCTTGCAATCCCAGCACTTTGGGAGGCTCAGGTGGGTGGATTACAAGGTCAGAAGGTTGAGACCAGCCTGGTCAACATGGTGAAACCTTGTCTCTACTAAAGACACAAAAAATTAGCTGGATGTGGTGGCACGTGCCTGTAATACCAGCTACTCAGGAGGCTGAGGCAGGAGAATTGCTTGTACCCAGGAGGTGGAGGTTGCAATGAGCCGAGATCCCACCATTGCACTCCAGCCTGGGTGCCAGGTCAAGACTCCATAAAAAGGGAGAGAGAGAGAGAGAGAGAGAGAGAGAGAGAGAGAGAGAGAGAGAGAACATATACAGCTTGAGCGCACTTTTATTTAAAAAAAAAAAAAAAACTATTTGTATGTAAATGTATGTTCAAAGGGGTCACACCAAAAATTTACAGTGATATGTTTGAAAAATGTAATAATGGCTGATTTTTCTTTCAGTTTTACTGTATGTTTCCAGTTTTCTAAATTCTTCCTCATAAGCATGGCTATGGAATTATCCCTGTATTCTTAGTCCAGAAGGTATTACTTTGCACAGAGGTTATACATACATGTATATTTGATTGTGTGAAAGAATATATATTAATATAAAGCCACCAAGGTAACAACAATTTGATTATATGGGGGTCATTCTAAAAGGCAAAGATAACTAGTAATTGTCATGGAAGACATTGGCATATAATTTACCATATATTTGGACTTGGAACTCTGCAACCACAGCATGAATTCAGTTGCAGAGTTCTGTGTGTGTGGTCCTACATTGACTCAATAAGTGATGCTTTGCAACCCACTGTAGGCTGCTCAATTCTTTCCCAATGATCTTGTAATCAGCTCTCAGGATATCTGATATCCGAAATGTATAAAGCGCTGACTTCCTTCCTTTTTTTTTTTTTTTTTTTTTTGAGACAGAGTCTCGTTGGCCCAGGCTGCTGGAGTGCAGTGGCGGGATCTCGGCTCACTGCAACCTCTGCCTACTCGGTTCAAGCGATTCTCCTGCCTCAGCCTTCCAAGTAGCTGGGATTACAGGCGTGTGCCACCAGGCCGAGCTAATTTTTGTATTTTCAGTGAAGATGGGATTTCACCATGTTAGTCAGGCTGCTCTCGAACTCCTGACCTCGTGATCTGCCCACCTCAGCCTCCCACAGTGCTGGGATTACAAGCGTAAGTCACCGGCCCGGTAAAGCGCTCACTTTCTATCGGAGACGGTTAAAGTAAAACCAAGAGTCAAGAGCTAAATCCTAGAGTATGCTTACAACTTTAGACAGTGATTGTTCTGCATCCACATTCTTAACGCTTTCAGGCATCACAACACACATTTTTAAAAAAGTTTTGCTTCTCCTAAAATCTAATTCATTGTTTTCTCATCCCTCAGAAAACCAAAACCTCTCAAAACTAACAACGAAACCCCACAACAGCTTTTTCTTCCCTGAATGTTCAAAACAACAGGGCAGTCACAAATAAGATTTCAGCAGAGCGACCTTCGTCTCTTCCCCTTCAGCTTCCCCTGGCGTCCCCTTCCCCTGCTGTCCTGGTCTGAAATCCTCACCATTTAGAAACCTTCCTTAAGATGTTAGAGAACCAAGATCATCCCCTTAGGGGGTTGCTCAAACACACATTCCCTCCCAGCGCTTTCTTGCTGGTACGCCATCCGGGATTTTAGCAGATTTCGTAGCTAGTCCCAGGGGCCGACACAGACAGCATCTTTCTGTATAGTTAGGAAGGGGCCTAGGGCTTTGAGAGCCGCGTGGGGCTCAGAGCCAGGAAGGGCTGACCCAGCGGGAGAAGGGTTCCAACCACCCCCTTACTCATCCGTCCCGCCTGGGGAGGAGGCATGTGGTCCCTTTTAGGTGCCCCCGCGCTTGTCCGAGCTGGTAAAAAAAAAAAAAAAAAAAAAAAAACACCCCACACTCCCCGAGGCTCGGAGCGAGGAAGTGACTCTCCAAGGCCTTGGGGCGGGGCGGGCTGTGCGGGTCCTCCTGTGCCTGTCCCCGGCCAGGGCTCCTGCCATTGTCCCACACTGCCTTTCATGTGTCCTCGTTGTCTCGCTGTTCCTGCTTGAACTACGCGTCCTCTGAGTTCCTAAACGAGCCAGCCCAGAGATGCTGGAAACCTCACCATTGAAGCCGATCACGGCGTCAAGTTCCAGCTCCGCCACTTGAGCCTCCGGGGAAATTTCGTTCTCCATCTCTGGGAAGTTCTGCTTATTTTGCTCTCCTACCAGGTAAGTGTAGCGTCTCCTGGTCGTTATGGTAACGGGCGAGCGCATGCGCGCCAGCTCTACGCCCGCGCAGAAACCCACCCTGCCGAGTTCCAATTCATTAGCATTCTTGGAAATAAGGGGTATGGGGGCTGGGAGGAGGGATGAGGTGAGACGATTCTTCTTCTTCTTTTCTTTTCTGTGTGTGCTATTTCTCTGGAAATTTACGGGATGGCACTAACTGCACAGAACTAATTCCTCCATCCCTTTGTGTAGAGTCTGCGACTTCCTGATAACTCTAAAAGCAAGCACCAAATAAATGGCATTTAAAAAATAAGTCATCAAGCGTAGAGGAGTGATGGGAAGGCTGCTATAAAGCAATACGTAATTGATAACTTCGTTGGGCCCCTGTTTGAAGCTGAGTGAAAAAAATGTTAAAGATTTTTTAAAAAGCGTTATTGAGCGTCATTAATGTACATATCAGAAAGTTAACTTAAGGTAGGTTGTAATAAGTTCATATAGGGTGTAAGTCTCACCGCAATCTAGCTTTTTGTTTTGGAAGCAGGATGAATTCTTTTTTTTTTTTTTTTTTTTTTTTTTTTTTGAGACGGAGTTTCGCTCTTGTTACCCAGGCTGGAGTGCAATGGCGCGATCTCGGCTCACCGCAACCTCCGCCTCCTGGGTTCAGGCAATTCTCCTGCCTCAGCCTCCTGAGTAGCTGGGATTACAGGCACGTGCCACCATGCCCAGCTAATTTTTTGTATTTTGAGTAGAGACGGGGTTTCACCATGTTGACCAGGATGGTCTCGATCTCTTGACCTCGTGATCCACCCGCCTCGGCCTCCCAAAGTGCTGGGATTACAGGCATGAGCCACCGCGCCCGGCCCCGGATGAATTCTTAAGTAACTGCTAGAGAGAGGTCTTACAGCGCTCCCACCTTCCTGGGAAAATGCTTAGTTTCTATTCACAGTTTTAACTGAGCTCAGCAGTTCGCATCTCAGTGGGAGTAGATGGCTCCCACCTACTGTCCCCAGGGCAGCACTTTCTCTGATTGCGGTTCTAAGGCCCTCGTTATATTCACTTGGCAAACTCCAGGCTCCGGTCGCGCACGGGACGAACTGCGGGGAGTGAGCCGCCCCGGCCGCCGTAGTCAGCTGCTGCGAGCAGGAAGAGTCCGAGCGGCGGGCGGAGTCTGCACGATGGCACCGGACCCCTGGTGAGCCCCGGGTGAGGGCGGCGGTGCGCCGAGGGGACCTTCGGGGCGGCCGGGCTTCCGGGGAGCAGGCGACCACTTGGCACGGCCGCTGGAGGCGTTTCGGGTGAGGGGAGGGGCGGCGAGACCCTCCCTCTGCTGAGGGGGCTCAGCCACATCCTGCCACCCTTGGTCCTTGCCAGGGGGGCCCGGGAAGGAGAACGGGGGTGGTCCGCTGGAGAACTGAGGACTTGAGCCAAATCTCTAAATTATTGCTCGAGCTTTTCTGGGCTGCATCTCGCAGCGGGGGATTTCCCGCCCATCTTGGTGGTGGAGCTGGCCGGTTCAGGCTTCCCTGGACTCCTATAAAAGTGAAGTCAAAATAACCTTTTTGCAGCGTGTCCGTCCATCCGGTGAACCCCCTTATTTCACAGGTGGAGAAACCGAGGTTCGGAATCCATGGTCACCGGCCAGTTAGTAACCAGTTGGGACTAAGACCTAGATCTTGGGGGCCCTTCCAGATACAGGAATCTGGGAGGGAAATTGTGTACTTGTTTATAAGGCATTTTACACTTTCTTGAGTTAATACTGTGAACAATTTTCTTTTAGCAGTAGCTTCTGCAGTAAAATAGTAGGTGATAGGGTCATTTATTTAGCAATTAATCCCAAGGATTGCACGATGAAAGATGCAAGTTTTGATCCCAAGGAACGTCCTGTTACAGCATAATAGACTTGACCTTTCTGCTTAATAATTAAAAACAGATTACAGCTCCATAACGTTCTTGTTGGAATATATGTCTTATGTTGTTATTTCTAATATAGTCTATAATTGTTTACGTTGCTGACAGCCTCGATGTTAGAAGAATGGATTCCAAGAACAAAGTTGAGTTACCTGGAATCTAGGTTATTTGGGCCATTTATTTAATTTAACATTGATTTTTTTAAACCTAATTTTAACAGGTATATACACCACTTGATAGAGAGTATTCAATTTAGAGAATTGAAAATTTGCAAAGAGGAAAATAAATAGCATCTTTAACTCTGTAATTTGGAAATAGCCATTATTGATTTTTTTTTTTTTTTTTTTTTAAGTAGAGACGGGGTTTCACCATGTTAGCCAGTATGGTCTTGATCTCCTGACCTTCTGATCCACCCGTCTTGGCCTCCCAAAGTGCTGGGATTACAGGCGTGAGCCACAACACCTGATACAACAGCATTTCTCTATGTAATTGGACATTCTTTAAAAACATAATTGTTTTTATGTTGCCTAATGGTGCATCACATGAATGACCATAATTTATTTTTCTCCTAGTATTAGTTGTTGTTTTTTTTCATCTCAAAGGCAGGCTCTTTGTTCCATCTATTATTTCCTTGGGCTCCTTGTCTAGAAGGAGGAATTAGAACTGTTGAAAGTGAAAGCATTTATACTTTTTTTGTTATTCTCAATTAGTTTGACTAACTGGATTTCTCATTAGACTGTTGAAAGTGAAATCGAACTATTGGGTTCAAGGGTATGAACTTTTTTTTTTTTGAGAAAAAAAAAAAAAATTCTGTTGCCAGGAGTTTCGCTCTTGTTGCCCAGGCTGAAGTGCAATGGCGTGATCTCGGCTCCCTGCAACTTCCACCTCCCAGGTTGAGGCGATTCTCTTGCTTCAGCTTCCCAAGTAGCTGCGATTACAGGTGCTCACCACCGCACCCAGCTAATTTTTATATATTTAGTAGAGACCGGGTTTCAACACGTTGGCCAGGCTGGTCTCAAACTCCTGACCTCAGGTGATCCACCCACCTTGGCTTCCTAAAGTGCTGGGATTACAGGCCTCAGCCACCGCACCTGGGGGGTATGAACATTTTTAAGGCCCTTGATACTGTGAACCTAAAGTATCTGAGACAGGTCTCAATCAATTTAGAAAGTTTATTTTGCCAAGGTTAAGGATGCACCCTCAGGAGGTCCTGAAGACATGTGCCCAAGGTGATTGGGGAGCAGCTTGCTTTTATACAATTCAGGGAGAATAATACATGAATTAATACCTGTAAGATTTATGATGGCTCGATTCAGAAGGGCAGGATACCTCAAAGGGGGTTGAGGGGCTTCCAGGTCGTAAGTGGATTTAAAAATATTCTGATTGGCAATTGGTTGAGTTATTATTAATAGAAAGGAATGTCTGGGTTATGCTAAGGGGTTGTGGAGACCAAGGTTTTATCATGCAAACGAAGCCTCTGGGTAGCAGGCTTTAGGGAGAATAGATTGTAAATGTTTCTTATCAGACTTAAGGTCTGTATTGACCTAGAGCTGTCCCCCAGGCATCTCTGAGGCCAGCTTCTTCAGCTTGCCTCAGTATCACGGGATTCTAAATAGCAGCTCCTCATCACTCTCTGTCCCTTTGTCCTGCTGCATTTTTCTTCTTAGCACCTGTCAACACCTGCCATGGTATTTGTTTTATGAGTTTCTTTCCCTAAAATATGAGCTCTGTGAAAGCAGGGACTGTGTGCATTCTGTTCACTGCTGTCTTCTCCACTGCCCAGTACAGCAGAGGCCCCCAAATGCTTTATCATCGGCGGAATGGCACCGTTGTTAAGAGCCCCAGCTCTGGAGCCAGACAGCCTTGGTTTGCAGCGGGTAGTACCACTTGGGCAAGTCACTCTGCCTCTGTGCCTCATTTTCTCCTGTATGAGACGGAGATGGTAATGGCACCCACTTCATAGTGTTCCTGTTTAGATTAAGTGAGTTATTACTAATAAAGCCTTCAGAATAGTGCCTGGCACATAGTAAATATCACTCAGTCCATGTTGCTTTTACTGGTAATGCTATTGTTCTCCACTTTTGTTTGAATTCTGTGACTAGAATGAAAATGTCAAACTTAGACAATGCAAAAATTTCTTTTAAAGAACCTTAAACAGACCAGCCTGACCAATGTGGTGAAACCACGTCTCTACTAAAAATACAAAAATTAGCCAGGCATGGTGGCTCACACCTGCAGTCCCAGCTACTCAAGAAGTTGAGGCAGGAGAATCACTTGAACCCAGGAGACGGAGGTTGCAGTGAGCCACGATTGCGCCGCTGCACTCCAGCCTGGGCCACAGAGCTACACTCCTTATCAAAACAAAAAGAAAAACAAAAATTAACCTTAAACATTTTCTCTTTTTATGACTTTGATGCAGGTTCTCCACCTACGATTCTACTTGTCAAATTGCCCAAGAAATTGCTGAGAAAATTCAACAACGGAATCAGTATGAAAGAAAAGGTGAAAAGACACCAAAGGTAATACCAGGAGGGAATTAGTACACAATGATTTGTTTGAGTTTTGAGATCTGAAAACTCAAACAACCCTCCTATCTTTCTTTGAGGCTCTCCGTGCACACGTGTGTCTAATGATCTATCTGCTTCCATGTGTTGAACGGACATCACAGCCAACCAGTTAATAGTTATTTAATTGAGACTAAATGAAACCTAGCGTATTTAAGTTCTCCTGTTTTACCATAAACATTTCTTTTCTTTTTTTTGAGACTTGCACTGTTGGCCGGGCTGGAGTGCAATGGTGCAATCTCAGCTCACTGCAACCTCTGCCTCCTAGGTTCCAGTGATTCTCCTGTGTCAGCCTCTCAGATAGCTGGGATTACAGGTGCCTGCCACCACACCCGGCTAATTTTTTCTATTTTTAGTAGAGACGAGGTTTCAGTATTTTGGCCAACCTGGTCTTGAACTCCTGACCTCAGGTGATCTGCCTGCCTTGACCTCCTGAAGTGCTGGGATTACAGGTGTGAGCCACTGCGTCCAGCCAAACATTTCTCTTTTATAGTCTAGTTCACGGGTTAGTAAACTTCCTCTAGATAATAAATCTTTTAGTCTTTGCAGGCCAAGAGACAATGTCTTCAAGTCTTGGAGTTTCTATTATCACCACAAGGATAGTTATAAGTTTTACATTTTACGTGTAAAAACGGGTGTGGTGGCTCACTCCTGTAATCCCAACACTTTGGGAAACTGAGGTGGGTAGATCACTTGAGGTCAGGAATTCAAGACCAGCCTGGGCAACATGGTGAAACCCTGTCTCTACTAAAAATACAAAATTTAGCTGGGCGTGGTGGCACAGGCTTGTAATCCCAGCTTCTCGGGAGCCTGTGGCATGAGAATCATTTGAACCCAGAAGGTGGCATCTGCAGTGAGCTGAGGTTACACCACAGCACTCCAGCCTGGGCAACAGAGCAAGACCCTGTCTCAAAAAAAAGAAAAAGTAAAAACCATCTTTAGTTATGGGCTGTATAAAAGCAGTGGTGGGATTTGGCTAGAAAATAGATTTTTGTGAAATCACACGTTTATACTTGTGATTATGGTTAAAAATATAAGCCTCCGATTCAAATCTAACACCACACCTTTCTTCCTTATTTTCCCCATTCCAAGTTTGTATTTTCTTTCTCTCACAGTGAGAATCCTAATTTCCAAAAGCATCAGTATGTTTTTACTCATTTAGTCTATTTTACAGTTTACAGAAAATAGTTTCAGAATTAAAGTACCACGACAAACACTAAGTTCAAAATTTGAATTTGTTAAAGTTTAGATGAATCTAAGATGACTGAGGTTATTATGTTCCAAAGTTACTAGAATTATTTTTTTAAGAGTTTAACTTTCAAGTTCAGGGGTGTATATGTGGGTTTGTCATATATAGTTAAGCTTGTATTGTGGGGGTTTGTTGTAAACGTTATTTTGTCAGCCAGGTATTAAGCCTAGTACTTATTTTATTTATTTATTTTTCTTTGAGATGGAGTCTCCTCTGTTGCCACGCTGGAGTGCAGTAGTGTGATCTTGGGTCACTGCAACTTCTGCCTTCCCGGTTCAAGTGATTCTTGCATCTCAGCCTCCCGAGTAGCTGGGATTGCAAGTGCGTGCCACCATGCCCAGCTAATTTTTGTGTTTTTAGTACAGACAGGGTTTCACCATGTTGGCCAGGATGGTCTCAATCTCCTAACCTCGAGATCTGCCCACCTTGGCCTCTCAAAGTGCTGGGATTACGGGTGAGCCACAGCGCCCAGCCAAGCTTAGTACTTAATATTTTTCCTCATCCTCTCTCTCCTTTAAACTTCCCCCCCTCTGCTAGGGCCCAGTGTGTGTCATTTCCATCTATGTGTCCATGTGTTCTCACCATTTAGCCCTGTCTTACATCAACAGAGTGAACAAATAACCTACAGAATGTGAGAGCATGCAGTCTTTGGTTTTCTGTTCCTGCATTAGTTTGCTAAGGATAATGGCCTGCAGCTCCACCCATGTTCCTGCAAAGGACACGATCTTGATCTTTTAATGGCTGCATAATATTCCATGGTGTATATGTTCCACATTTTCTTTATCTGGTCTACCACTGACAGGCATTTAGGTTGATTCTATGTCTTTTGTTACTGTGAATAGTGCTGCAGGGAACATATACATACATGTGTCTTTATGGGAGAATAATTTCTATTCTTTTGGGTGTCTACCCAATAACAAGATTGCTGGGTCGAATAATATTTCTGTTTTGAGTTCTTAGTGGAATTGCCACACCGTCTTCCACAATGATTGACCTAATTTGCACTCCCACCAACAGTATATAAGTGTTCCTTTTTCTCTGAAACCTCTCCAGCGTCTATTAGTTTTTGACTTTTTAGTAATTGCCATTCTGACTGGTGTGAGATAGTATCTCATTGTGGTTTTCATTTGCACTTCTCTAATAAGCAGTGATGATGAACTTTTTCTTCCTATGTTTGTTGGCACCATGTCTGTCTTCTTTTGAAAAGTGTCTGTTCATGTCTTTTGCCCACTTTTTAATGGGGTGGATTTTTCTTGTAAATTTGCTTAAGTTCCTTATAGATACTGGATATTAGATCTTTGTCACGTGCATAGTTTGCAAATATTTTCTCCCAGTCTGTAGATTGTTTGTTCACTCCATTGATAGTTTCCTTTACTGTGCAGAAGCTCTTTAGTTGAATTAGATCCTATGTGCCGATTTTTTTGCTTTTGTTGCAATTGCTTTTGGTGTCTTTGTCATGAAATCTTTGCCTGTTCTTATGTTCAGAATGGTATTGCCTAGGTTGTCTTCCAGGCAACCTAAATCTTTTATAGATTTAGGTTTTTAAAATTATTATTATTATTATTATTATTTTTATAAAGATGGGGTTTCACCATGATGGCCAGGCTAGTCTTGAACTCCTGACCTCAGGTGATCCACCCACCTCGGCCTCCCAAAGTGCTAGGATTTCAGGCGTGAGCCACCATGCCCGGCCTAGATTTAGGTTTTAAACGTAAGTCTTTAATCCATCTTGAGTTAATTTTTGCAGATGGTATAAGGAAGGGGTCCATTTTCTATCTCCTGCACGTGGTAGCCAGTTATCCCAACACCACTTACTGAATAGGGAACCCTTTCCCCATTGCTTATTTTTGTCAGGTTTGTCGAAGATCAGATAGTTGTATGCGTGGCCTTATTTCTGGGTTCTCTGTTTATTTATTTATTTTTGAGACAGTGTTGCTTTGTCTCCCAGGCTGGAGTACAGTGGCACGATCTCAGCTTACTGCATCAACCTCTCCCTCCTGGGTTCAAGCGAGTCTTGCATCTCAGCCACCCGAGTAGCTGGGATTACAGGTGTGTGCCACCATGCCCAGCTAATTTTTGTATTTTTAGTAGAGACGGGGTTTCACCGCATTGTCCAGACTGGTCTCAAATTTCTGACCTCAGGTAATCTGCCCGCCTCAGCCTCCCAAAGTGTTGGGATTACAGGCTTGAAACACTGTGCCCAGTCAACTGGGTTCTCTATTCTGTTGCATGGTTTATATCTGTTTTGGTTATTATAGCCCTATAGTATAGTTTAAAGTTGGGTTAGCAAGATGCTTTGTTCTCCTTTTTTTTTTTTTTTTTTGAGACAGAGTCTTGCTGTGTCACCCACGCTGGAGTGCAGTGGCATGATCTTGGCTTACTGCAACCTCTGCCTCCCGGGTTCAAGCAATGCTCGTGCCTCAGCCTCCTGGGTAGCTGGGATTACAAGCAGGAGCCACCATGCCCAGCTAATTTTTGTATTTTTAGTAGTACGGGAGCTCACCATGTTGGCCAGGTTGGTTTTGAACTCCTGACCTCAGGTGATCCACCCTCCTTTGCCTCCCAAAGTACTGAGATTACAAGCGTGAGCTGCTGCGCCCAGCCCAGCTTTGTTCTTTTTGCTTAGGATTGCCTTGTATTTGGGCTCTTTTTTGATTCCATATGAATTTTTAAATACTTCTTTCTAGTTCTCTGAAAAATGTCAGTGGTAGTTTAATAGCAATGGGCTTGAATCTATACGTTGCTTTGGGCGGTATGGCCATTTTAACAATATTGATTCTTGCTGTCCATGAGCATGGAATGTTTTCCACTTGTTTGCGTCATCTCTGATTTCTTTGAGCGGTGTTTTATAGTTTTTTTTTGTGTGTGGAGATCTTTTACCTCCCTGGTTAGCTCTATTCCTAGGCATTTTGTTTTCTGGTGGCAATTGTAAATAGGATTGCATTCCTGATGCGGCTCCTGGCTTGACTGTTGTAGTATAGGAAGGCTAGTGATGTTTTGCACTCTGATTTTGTGTCCTGAGACTTTGCTGAAGTTGTTTATAAGCTTAAAGAGCTTTTGGACGGAGAGTATGAGGTTTTCTAGATATAAGATCATGTCTGCAAACAGGGATAGTTTGACTTCCTCTCTTCCTCTTTGGATACCCTTCCTTCCCTCCCTCCCTCCCTCCCTCCCTCCCTCCTTCCTTCCTTCCTTCCTTTCTCCCTCCCTCCCTCCCTTCCTCTCTCTTTCCTCTCCTCTCCCTTCCCCTTCCCTCTCCCCTCTCCCCTTCCCTCTGCCCTCTCCTCTTCCGTCTCCCCTCTCCCCTCTCCACTTTCCTCTCCTCTCTCCCATTTTCCCTCTCCTCTACTCTCTCCTCTCTTCCTCCCTTCTCTCCTCCCCTCTCCTCTCTCCTTCTCTCCTCTCCCCTCCTCTCTTCTCTTACTCTTCCCTGATTGGCCTGGTCAGGACTTCCAATACTGTGTTGAACAGGAGTAGTAACAGGGCATCCTTGTCTTCTACCAGTTTTCAAGGGAATGCTGCCAGCTTTTGCCTGTTCAGTGTGATGTTGGCTGTGGGTTTGTCATGGGTGGCTCTTACTATTTTGAGGTATGCTCCTTCAATACCTAGTTTATTGAGGGTTTTTAACATGAAGGGGTGATGAATTTTATCGAAAGCCTTTTCTGCATCAATCGAGATAATCATGTAGCATTTGTCTTATTTCTGT